GCCTGGTTCAAAAAATTATTTTGGTCTATATAGCTAATTTTGCCCTTCATGACAACTGTGAGGGGGGCGAATTTTTTTATAAGTCATCTGTTTAAATTATATTAAGCCTTAAAGTTCTGCATAATTAAGGGGCGTGGCCACTTGAGTGACAGGTGGATTGCCGCTGCTGTCACCACCGTCGAGCTAGGTGGGCGTGGCTTCAGCAACCAGCTCCCGCCTCTTTGCCCATTTTCGATTATCCGGGAGTGACGCGCTGCCAAGATGGCGACAGCTGCCTCCGCCCACTTTGAGCTTCAAAAATGCTCTTCGAAAACCTACGTGTGACGTCACAGACACTAACTACATCCATGTTTTTATACAGTCTATGGTGATTACCAGCAAATTGCTATTGCTATGCTATTCCAGATAATCCCTCCACTAAAACGACTGTAAAACAACTATGATTGGTCAATTTAAATGTCAGTCAGACATTCTCCTTCTGTCTAAGGTCGGTTCTTGGTCAAAATACTGTCCTACAGAGCACATAAGAAAACCATTCGCTCAATTTTATGTCAGATGAGTGGACAGCACTGACCTCATTCCCACACTGACCTTTCATATTGTCTATAACCGGTTGAAATCCATGTTCCTCACTTCTTATTGTAAAGCAACATTCCAAATGTCAAGTGTGCTGATATTTCTACAGTACAGGCCACATTATTACAGTACCGGAACAGGTCTAAAGCTGCAGGTCTCTGACTAGAGAGGATTCTGCATTGAAAGCAGACTGATTTTTTTATGAAGAGAGTAATAGAGTGGTTTCATGTTCCACCAGAACTGTGAGAACAGGGTAAATCAGGTGGAACCACAGAAACAGTCACTTGTTCTATAAGATCAGGAGGTCTGAGATCACAGTGAATTCAGAATGTCTTTTAAATTATAACTGAGGTTGCAAACGGGAGGCAGAATTATAATTAGAATTTTAGAAAGCAGAATTAAAATGGAATGAAAATCATATAATGCATTCCCTTTTTCACTGCAAATTACGCCCAAAAAAACTATTTCCAGAAACATAAGATGATATTAATAATAAATGCTTGATATGACATACATAGAAAATGTATATATTTCATTATATTTTTTAACTATATCTATTTTGAAAACAATTAAAGACAAGTTTTTTAAAAACTTGATAAAACAAATGACATCAAATAGAACCAAATTAGAGTCACTAAATTATTTATTAATTATAAATAATTTATTAAAACCAATGTATCATTATGCATATATATATATATATATTAAATATGCATATAAAATGGCATATAATAACAAAAAATTGGCATAGTTGTATTGTCACAAAAACTTGTCTTTAATATCTTAAAGTAAAATGTATTACATTTAATGAAATATATAAATTCAATATAAATTATGTTTAATTATAATGTATAATTTTTATTTTAAGATGACTTTTGTTTTTGTGACAAAACAAACAATGACATTATTAATTTTAATTTATTTAAACCAAATTAGAAATATTAACTAATTTATTAAAACTGATTGTGATGCATAGACATTATAACAATAAATTGCCATAGTTGTATTGACACAAAAACTTGTCTTTAATCAAAATGAAATGTATAAAATATAATAAAATATATAAATTAAATATACATTTTCTATTTCATTATATTTTATACATTTCATTTTAAGATGATTAAAGACATATTTAATCAAAACAAATAACTAAAACATTAATTTTAAGTAATTTATTAGAACCATATTAGAAATATTAACTAATATTTCAACTAATTAACTCATTTATTAAAACCAATTTATTATGCATAGACATCATAAACAAAAAGACTAAATACAAATCTTTATATATGCATACAAATTTGCATACAATAACAATAAATCGGCATGGTTGCATCGTCACAAAAATTTGTCTTGGGCTAATGAAATTATAATGAATTGTTGTGGATAAATTCCTCTTCCTGTCATTCCAATTCCAATTTTAATTCAACATCCTGTGCCAGTTCATTCTGATTTCTGAAAGACAACATTCTAACAGAAATGCAACCTTATAAGCGACTTTGGAAAGTTCTACATAGTCAGCAATTCATTCAGCACACATATAGTCTACACTAGGATTTACCACAGAGCCATGAAGGACTGCAAACATTGAATCTGCAATCTGAATTTCATCTCATTATCAATAAAATTGGCATTTGATTTAATGGCACAGCATAGTAATTTTAGACATTCGGTGGAACAAACATATTAAGTCCAGTGAGCCGAGCCAGAAATGCTTTTGGTTTCCATGAAAGATGACCTAATGCAAGCTGAAGAAAACAATAAAACTTGAACAATAAAAGTTGATGTAAAATGATAACCTCACTCACCAAACATATTCCCAGTGTTTCCATTCCTGGTCAGAGGTCGAAGTTCATTCTTTCCCCAAGCGTAACGTTTATAGTTGTCCCAGGCAAACTTCATCATCTGCAAACACAAAACAAACAGGTTAAGATGTGAGAGATCACCTCACCCATTAAATGTGCTTCTAACAATACGCTTAGTGTGCAGATACTGGCATTCAAACAAAAAGATGATAACAGGATGCAAAAATGTCCAAAGCCATGAAGCACAGATGTTCCCTGATCATCAACAAGCAAAAATGAAGATGAATCAGAAGAATACGGGCTTTAATAACACATTAGACGACGATACCTCTGGTGCTTTGAAGCATGGATAAATGCAGTTGAGGACTGGAAACATTACAGGAAGAAATATGAGGATGTCATGAATGACAAGGAAAAACAACAAAGAATTTAATCATGGTCCACAAGCTCTATTTATTTCTGCTGAAAGCAACACACTGTCATAATTAGCTGTGCTTTAAGGCGGGCAGACCTGCAGAATCACTTTCATCAAATAAATACAGAAATTCATGAACAGACAGACGACATCAAAGAAATGAACTGTTACCTCCATGCATTAATCAAGTAAATAAATTAATAAACACATAATCATTGTTTTCTCGTCACCATTAACCATTGCACATTCAAATGAGTTGTTTTGTTCTGTGTGTTAAAGGGGTCATATGATGCAATTAAATTTTTTCCTTTCTCTTTGGAGTGTTACAAGCTCTTGGTGCATAAAGAAGATCTGTAAAGTTGCAAAGACTAAAGTTTTTCAGACCGATGAGCTTTGTAAAAATCGACGCGTTTCAGAAGGCGGGGCATAGAGGAGAAACAATAATGTACAGTATGTGGAAAATAATGTGTTTTTTTTTACTTTAAACTGCATAAACACATTTCATTACACCAAATACACAAAATAATGTTCTTTTTAGCAGCATCATATGACCCCTTTAAACAGTATTCTGATTAAAACTTGACTTTTTGACTTTTTAAAGACAGGTTTGTGATAAGCTAAGTAAATACATCAATATTTTTAAGCAATGAGAACCAAATAAGAATTATTAAAACTAATTTATATAAAACAATGTATTGTTATGCATATACATTATAAATAAAAATAAAATGCATTTGATATCACATATTTGATATCATTTATATATATATATATTTATTTATTTATTTTTATTTTTTTTTAAGAAATGAACACTTATTCAGCAAGGATGCATTAAATTGATCAAAAGTGACAGTAAAGACATTTATAATAAAATATTTACATTTCAAATAAATGCCTTTTGAACTAACTTTCTATTCATCAATATTTACATTTCAAATAAATGCTGTTCTTTTGAACTTTCTATTCATCAAAGACTCCTGAAAAAATAACTTTTTCTTCAAAAATATGAAGCAGCGCTACTGTTTTCAACACTGATAATAATCAGAAATGTTTCTTGAGCAGCAAATCAGCATATTAGAATGATTTCTGAAGATCATGTGATACTGAAGACTGGAGTAATGATGCTGAAAATACAGCTTTGATCACAGAAATAAATTACATTTGAACATATATTCAAATATTATTTGAATAGCTATTTTAAATTGTAATAATATTTCACAATTTTTACTGTATTTTTGATCAAATATATGCAAGCCTTGGTGAGCAGAAGAGACTATTTAAAAAAAAAAAGTTTTATCTCAGTTTTATTTTGGAACAAAAATTCAGTTTTATTTTGGAACAAATATTGTATATAAAATATATGTTTATAAAACTGCATGTCTGCAATCACTACATTAACTACACAGCTCTATTGAATACTTGATTCTGATTATAAAGACAAATATTTTCACTCATGCACTGATTAAATGTTCATAATAACACCAGGGAAATAAAGCACACCAATAAGTTTTCATTTTGGCTTCTAAGATCTATCCCTAAAATAAGATCATGGGTCTTGAATGGGTCCGAGTTGATTAAGGAGCATTACACCTGGGCTCTACTGCTGCTGTGTCCAAAGCTCTGAGCTCGGCGGCGGTGGATCTTGAATCTCCTGTGTTTGAGCTCTGAATGAATATTTCAGCACTCACTGGATGACGCCTGGCACCAACAACCTCCAGAATGCAAGCTCTGAAAAAGACTCTCTTCCCTTGAAGCCAATAATTGATGTGGGATCGCCTCCAAACCATGCAATAAAAGGGCTTTCGACATGACAGGGAATTAGCAGGAAGAAATTCCAACCGCGATACACGGCGATACTTATTTGAGCTCGAGATGAAGGAGCAGCTGGGCCGGGATGTGGCCGATTCTTGTGTTGCATGAAGCTTTTGTGATCGTCTGTTACTGATGAACGATGGTGGGCTTTTTGCTCAGAGCGACTGCAACGCTTCAGTTTTGAGATGTGCTTGTTTTGTCTCTCCTGAGGCAGTTCAGGGCCAAAGAAAAGGAAAACACATAGCAGGTTTTCTCCCTGTTTGCACTTCATGTCCACTTTATCTACCGGCGGAGAGGAGCCGAACTTGAAGAATTTTACCACAGATTTCATAAACACAAACACAAACAGTCTAGCAGTGTAAATACGTTCTGCGCTGCTGTCAAAGCAAAAATTAAACATGCGTGTCTTTCCTTTTATGCTGCCTGACTGAATGGACACATAAATAACACTCCACACTACTGACTCTGACAGCCGACAACAGTAATACGAGCAGTAAAATATGACTAAAGCGCCAGCAGAGACTTTACACACACAGATCTGTCATAAGACAAACGCTATTTGAACACTAGTCTATATAGTAACATACAGTAACATTATATGCAGTATATTATATATGAATCACAGTAGACAACACAGCCAATAATGATGCTTATGTAAGGAGAAAAAGGAAGTAATGTCACTATATGCATATACTGTACATATATATATACATACATAATATGCATATAGTGACATTACTTCCCTTTTCTCCTTATTATTCATAAAAACCATGGGTAGTGGAGCAAAAGCAGTAAAGAGAGCTTGTAAATCTGTGAAAGTTCACAGTGAATGAGGTCAGGTCAGTGTGATGAATGTCTATAAAGAACCAGCACACTTCATGACACACATAGAAATGACTCAGCTGTTTAGAGATTCACAAACGGAGCCATCACATCTCCTCCACATCATGACCTGTCATCTCTCCATCCTAACTGTAAATCAGATGGCAAAGACCCAAAGACAAACAGGCCAGAATCCAGAGAAACGGTCTGCTTTGGTGAGCATAGACATTAGCGCTTAACTTTCACGATTAGATAACTGAATTAACTCTATAACCAGCAGAGCGGGATGATAGAAATGCCAAGACCTTGAGTTTGATTGCCAGTACGGATCATTATGCTGGAAATATACATTTAAGCAATATAGTGAACATGGCCTCAGAACTATACAGCTACTTTTTAAAAAGATTTTTCAGAAAGAAGTCTCTTCTGCTCAGCAAGGCTGCATTTATCTGATCAAAAATACAGTAAAAATTCTGAAATATTATTACAATTTAATATAACAGTTTTCTATGTGAATGTATTGTAAACTGTAATTTATTTCTGTGATCAAAGCTGTATTTTCAGCATCATTACTCCAGTCTTCAGTGTCACATGATCTTCAGAAATCATTCTAATATGCTGATTTGCTGCTCAAGAAACATTTCTGATTATTATCAATGTTGAAAACAGTTGTGCTGCCAAATATATATATATATTTGTGTGTGAAAACCGTGATACATTTTATTTTTCAGGATTCTTTGATGAATATAAAGTTCAAAAGAACAGCATTTATTTGTAACATGCTAACATTCCAAATGTCTTTACTGTTACTTTTGACCAATTTAATGCATCCCTGCTGAATAAAAGTATTAATTACTTAAAAAAAAAAATTACTGACCCCAACTTTTGAACACTATACAATATATACAGTGGGTACGGAAAGTATTCAGACCCCCTTA